ATATTTGTCATAAGTGACAAGCAGTTTCAAACTAATTTTATTCATTTTGTGGGATGTAAATGATGTGTTTCAATGGCTGTCAGTTATGTATGGTTAATGTTTTTAGTTATGAGGTTCGAAGAGAAGGCAGAGAGAAGCTATCGAATTTAGTTGTACTTGCAATATACAATGACAATAAAGGCATTCTATTCGATCAGGGGTTCTGATGTCATCAGGGGCATAGCTAGAAACTCTTGGCCCCCTGACAAAATGTCATCTTGGTCCCCCTGCCCGATTTTACATATAATTTTACGTGTTCAAGGGTCCCTGTAAAGTGCTAGCCCCCCTTGATTCTGCCAGGATATCTATGCCCCTGCTGTGCCCCCGAACATCGTATCCTTTTCCAAGGCACTTAATGTGAATACCTCTTGAAAATATCTATCTGCATAAATATATAGAAAGTTTCTTTCGATAAAGACGTCACATGAGCAACTAAATGTAACAAACATGTGTGAGAAGAGCTTGAGAGCGAGGCTTTCCATTAGACCCCTGGTTCCTGTGGGAGAGTGGGGACAACAGTGTGTCATTTTTTCCCATGTTGCCGGGCTCTGAGGAGACTCATGTGTGAGCTGCAGTCATCCGTGATAATGGTCTCCTGCAAATGAAGCGAGTCTTAAGTGAAACAGAGCTGTCTTTGTGCGTCCCTGCTCTGAAGTGCTTGGTTTTTTTCTTTCTTTTGCCGAACAAGAAAATTCTTTTGGAAAAAAAAAAAAAATGCACTCTACTCAAAAACCAACGAAAAATACATTAATATAATATTTCATTTTAAATAACAGAAACTCTTATTTAAAATAACAGCATATCAAAAGCCTTTAATATGACACTTTTTAAATTAAAAATTCATTTATTGAAATAGTGCTACAAAAATAGCTCAGCTGATTATGAATACTAAGAAAAACATTTCGAGAACAGTGCTATTTAATTGCAGTAAGTTTAAACCAAGGAATGTAGAAAATGTAAAAGAAAACCCTTAAAGAAACAAGAAACATTTATTGGTCATGATATCATGGTACAGAATTGAAGTGATTATTTCACTCAATGAAAGCTCTTTTGTTATGGTACATTTTCCATTTCCAGGACAAGAAGTCACATATAATAGCATCAACTTAATAATGGAAAATATAACTAATACATATCATGAAATTTACTATATTTTTTATTTCACATTTTGATGCTATTGTAGACACGAAGAGAGTTTAATTGTCTGAACTGTTATTCTGCTAGCTGGTACAAACATAGACCCATTCATTACGTCATAATATACGCTATAAAGATGCTGCTATATCCTGCCAACCAGGACATCAGTACCAAATTTGCATAAAGAACACTGGAAAAGCCACAATGGAAAAGAATAGTACTATTTAACTAAAAAGAGTTCCTGTATCACATTTTCATCATTTGTAAATCTGCTATTGACCATTGTAGAGTTAGCATTGTGAAGTTATGTCTAGGATAAGTGGGTAGATGTGGGTAGTTCAGATCAAGAGAGTAACAGTCCAGACAAAGATTTTTTTTCAACCAACCAGTTGAGTACCCTGTGGACTTTTACTCTCTGGACCTGAATTACACATCCCTGGTTGTAAGATGGGCAGAGTATAATTCTACTTCGAGCAAATATAATTCAAGTTAACATTTGTTGTGGACAGTTTTAGTGCACTAAGGCCCTAAAACTGATTTGTCTATTTGGGTTTGGGGTCACAACTGATATTAGTGGTTTACATCGCATACAAGCAAAAGGTCTAATTGTTCTGGATTAAACTGTACAATCTGTGATAGTGTGCCAGGGCTCTATTGTTCCTTGCTGGTTACATATATTAGTCTGCATGGGAAGAAACAGAGGCTTTGTTCGTTTAACACAATCATCAGCCAGTATCTGACCTGTGGTGGACTGGCATCCAGTCCAGGGTGTCTCTATGTCAGGACCCAGGCTTAGCACAAGCCTGTACTGGATAAGCAGGTATGGAAGGTGGATGGATGGATGGATGGATGGGCTTGTTGATACGCTATGATAAAAATGAACATACGTATGAATGCTTAAAGAAAAAATAAAACTTATTTGTATTAAAAATTGGTATTGATATTTCTAATTACAAAGAATTACAAAAAGTCTTTCATTAAATTATGAAAATATCAGAAATATCAGTAGTTAACACTTGGTTTATATGCTTATTAGTCAAAGGAAAAACATCTTCTTTGATCTGAGATCTTATTTAAATAGAACTAACAGTGTCTTACACCAGAATCATTAATTAAAGCAACTTCCAAATTCCTTGTGTTTTACCAGACGGTCATATAACGGTTGTGATGCTTGTACTATAATAATTTAGTTGATAATTTCTGGGGAAAAAATGTTTGTGATGGTAAGCAAGTCCACAGGGTACACCAATTAGATGATGGAATGATATCCTTGAACGTGAACTGAGAATATAAATCAACTGCATGTCCCTCTAACTCAACAATACTTCCCATAATGCATAGCAAACTTGTTTCATATTTGTGAGTACTGGGGGCTGTCCCCTCTACTAAGCCATCAATGCCCTCTCCACTTCACGTAATTTATGCCGGTTATTGCACAAGATTATACACTGTCACTGCTAGCCAATTTAGCCATGGTAGGGTGTATATTTTTGAAATGACTCCCTTTTTTACTGTTGGGCCTATTATCAGATACTCTGGCCAAACTACAGCTAACTGAGTACACTTTATTCACCGTCTTAACCTTAACTTTAAATTGCTGCTGGTGATTTAGCTGAAAAGGCTGCCGATATTAACGGCTTTGGATGTCAATGGATAAAAGGTGGGAAAAAAGCATTTGCAGTAACTAATGGGACTTTTGGAGGAGGGCTGTTTGTTGCAGAAAGAGATGAATAAAGCGGTGTTTTCTTTTTCTTCATCTACCTTCTTGGATTGGAGAGCCTCTGTTTCTGCTATGGGAGGTGATGCAGCACACATCATAAATCATACAGTATCCTTTGTGATTCAAATTTTTGTTTTCAAGGGATTTTTGGGAACAACTATATTCACATAATCTTTCCGAGGGAAAAAAAAAAGTTCGAATAACCCGCTTTAGTGATTCATCATATATAAATGAAGTTCCTTCAATATAAACCCGAAGTAAGATTTTCAAATCTACAGTTATATTTTAATATGACATCCAAGTAAGTGTCATCATGCAAATACACGGATCAGGAAGCAAACTGGTAAGTAAGCTAAGTGTCAGAGTCACTAAAAGCAGAGTCTAAAATGTAAATGTAAATCACACTGAATCAGAAGTTTGCTGACACAGAAACAGATATTGCTTACAATTTTGAAAATTTGGATATGTTAGAGAGTTTTCCCTGGGAGAGAGGTGTGTGAAATAAACTTAGCAGACAGCTTGTACTATTTCTAACAAGTCCATCTACAGATTAATCTCAGCAGAACTGAAGTGTGCTAGCTTTCCTGTTGGGATCTGACTTTAGCATATGCCTTTTGAGAATATTACACTAGATATACTTAGTGGTCAGTGTAATGTGCAAACAGCCTGCGCCTACAAACAGCCAATCATGTGGCTGCAGGCACAACATCAAAATGTGGTCAAGAGCTTCAGTTACTGTTTGCATCAACATTAGAAGAGCTAAGATGCTTTGAACATGGTGTGATTGTTAGTGTCCGACGTGGGGGATCCAGCATCTCAGAAACATCCACCATTTTCACACACCAGAGTGTCTATAGCTCACAGAGTTAGCAAGAATTTTGTGGTGAAAAAAAAAACCCTGTTAATGAGAGAGGTCAGAGGAGAACAGCCATACTCATTACAGCTAACAAGAAGGTCGTGACTGAAAAAAAAAAGAAAAATAGCCTCTCTGAACATGAACTGTCTAGTCGTGGTTCCGAAGGCAAACGTGGGCCCTACTCAGTACTAGCTATGTGTACCTAATAAAGTGCATGTTGATCTGTTATTATGTCGGCATTATGTCTCTTGACATGCAGATTGAGATGGACCACATGTGTGCTTCACATTTGGCAGTAACTGAGCTCTTCCTTGGCTGATAGTCACTAGCAATCTGTCTTGTGTGTCATGAAATGACCCCCTACTAGTAACAACGGTGAACTGAACTGAAAATTTAAACTCGCCTTCCAATTTACAAAGAGTTGAGGCAGTGTTTTCAATTCTGTCTCCAGGCACGTTCCCTCCTCATGCTTCATGTTTGAATACGTAATTTGCAACATGAGAGATTCAAAACGCTATGTCAGCAGCCTTAATTAAAAAACGTTTCCTATGTCCGGCATTCTGACAGCAATAAACTAGCAATTATCGCATGCATGATGTATTTGATATTTGTTCTGTCAACTTTAGTCAAAATAGAAAATGAAAGTTCTAAACTGTGATGGAAAAAAACCAAAAACATGCAGAAATATTGATGTTTATTTATGAACTTATTAATAATCATGTATGCATTGTAAGTAAAACGGGAGGTCAAAACATTCAAAGCAAGGGCTGTTTTAGAGAAATGCAGCAGAAAATTTTCCTCAAATTGAACAGCAGGTGATATTGGTCTGATTCTCCATCTAGTATGAGCTACAGCCACACATCAACACTTTAACAATAAGGTATGTCCTTGGTTCCAAAAATGTGTGATGATGTCAAACAAATGCAAACAGCACATTTTTTCACGTGTCAGTTTTAAAGGCCTCAAAGGAATGGCTCAATCTTTCTACAGCAGTGTCAAGAAAGAATGCATCGCACAAAAAAATCCTTGCCTGATCTGGACTACCATCCTGGTACTCTAGCTAACTTCTAATAAATGCTGTATTGTCCACAAAAGGACAAAAAAAAACCCATTGCCATCCCCTGGCTTGAGCCGTCTGCATTATAATGAAGGCAGTGAATGTACAGCTCAGTTCCAATGTGATTCCAGACAAAAGTCCCTGTGTTTGTTCTTCCCCTCTAGAAGTTTCACTAAAAAGGGAGGGAAAAAAGGAGAGATGGGTATGAGTTGGGAATGTTTGGTATAGAGAAAAGCCAGAGAAGTCTTCGTCCTGTAGACATTCTGGATACCATTTCCCTGCACTGTTTATGATGTCTGCTTGAGGAGGCCTGTGTATTCAGCTGGAATCTGTGCAGATTTGTCTCATGAACCTATGGTGAACCTGGTGAAATGGAATAGATTGGAAGTGCAGATCTTATTTTTTAAGGTAGGACTGTGATTTGCGTCATTGTCGGGGAGCTGATTTCGTTGGTTTACTGTCAAAAACATCATAGATAAAAGGTCATTGGGTCAGTTGAATCTTTTTTTCTTCCCTTCCTTAGGCTGCGGTGTTGAAATTATTTTCTTATAACTGTTTGCAGGTAGGTCGATAACAGACAGAGTGCATGCTATTTAAAATAAATTTATATTTTAAATATTCGTGCAAATTGAAATGGTTTGAAAGAGCATCTTGACTACTGCTATGGTTTATTCAACGATTGTTATATAAAGTCAAAATTAAACCAAATAAGCTACACAAGCATGATGTAATGAAAAGTAAGCGTCTATGAGTCCATGCATAGTGAAATAAATTAAAGTAAATTGAAACGCTGTGATGTTAAAAATAATGGCAATAACATTAAAGGCACAAATAAAAGAATAAAGTTTAATTACCCTGAAGCTCCTTTTATTATACTTTGAGGCTGAAAACATGCTTCTGAATGAGGCGGGTTTATTAAAGAGTGGACAGGGATCAGATTTAGAAAAGATGAAGTGTCAGAGCTTCGCCAAGCGGAACAATAAACATCACATGCCGACAAGGCCCTCTCATGACCAATTAAGTGCATCTGCTTTCAGAGTGGTAATCTGATGGAGACTGAACTGATGTGCCTTCAACAGCAATTTACAAGGGTAAGAGAAGAGACAACTAAAAAAAAAAAACAGAAGCTTCGCACCTTTGAAAGTATGACAGCAAAATGATTCATAAACAAGCATGTTAACTGAAAAAGCAGTTATAAATAACTTCCACATGAAACACGGATGCCTGTATAATTTCATGTGTGCAAATTCAGTGCTAGTATAAAAATAATACATTTTACAGTGAACAGTGGGCTGGGACGCTGTGCCTGTGACCCCAGGGTTGGCAGAGTAATGTCACCGTTGGGCCTTTGAGTAAAGTCCTTAACCCCTAATTGCTCCCGCGTGTGTGTGCGTGTGTGTGTGTGTGTGTGTGTGCAGCTTTAAGCAACATTAAGACAGTATGAGGGTTCTTATGACTATGATTTTTTATGTTCATAATTTAATTTTTTTGCAGTGTTTTTCTACATGTATAGTAATTCTACTTAATTATTCCAAAGAATCCTTTCCACAGGTACAGGAGTTAAGATTCACTTTACTGGGTGACATGCTAAGAGTGATCTATGTATATTACAAAATATATAAAAAGAAAAAAAAAAACAGATCAGTTCCTCTATGGGGAATTAATAAAACCCCGAGAGAGAAACTCTGACACCCAGCATTCCAGTCTTAAAGGTCATCGACACAAGGTTGTGAGTCTGTTTGCTGTAGCTGCTGCTAAAGGCAGTTGCTACTAGCTTCCCTAAAATCAGTTCAGCTTAACATGCCGCTTTCGTAGCTGTGAACGCCGGCGCAAGGCAGCACTTTGAAATGCACTTGAAAGGGAGCCGGTTCACGGACTCTTTTAGTATTAATTCAGTGGGATGGTAGTATATATTTTTTTCTCTTGTTGTTCGCATGAAGGACAAATCAAAGCTGCCACAGCTGAACAGCATTTACACAGTCATTAGCCCTTAAGTACACCTTCCTCCTCCTCTGTGCACCGTGGGCCATCAGATGGACTACAAAGCACTAGAAAAAAGACTTTTCTTACAGTCTTCTCCGCATAGCATGGGTGGACACATGGCATAAAAGGCTTTATCAATGCCAAAGACATTTTTTTTTTTAAATCAAAAAGCAAAGGACGTAAAGGCAGACAAAGACAAAGATGAACGTAACTCTTTCAGGAAGACTAAAAAATATTTCACTCATTTATTTTAATTTATGCCTTTTGTGTTGCATTAAATACATTTTAAGTGGTGTTATTTTGTTGAAATAAAGCCCCATACCAAGAATAACGAAAACATTCATATCTTTACTATGTCATGTGGAACCCTTTATAATTCCTGTGAAATATCAGAATGTCATACTGTATATGTACAACAAAAATGTGCACCATGGTCTAACCCCATTTATTAGCAACATCGTCTAGAAATATACACTTTTGGAGTCTTTACATACAGGCTGGGGTTTCTTTCCACCTGTTACAGGTGGATGGTGATGACATTTCATCCGTGCAAACATTAATAAAGGTTACTTAAAGGATTGCAGCCGACCAATGTGAAGATTGTGTTGAAGCTCCCTTTATTAAAGTACAAAACTACTGTGTTTACTGAGGCTCACAATGCACAGTGCTTTAGCTTGTGAGTGGTGCTTATATATGGGCTAAAGAAACCTGGAAATTTCAATAATAATATTTCCATTTATTTTTTTTCGATATATTGTTGAGAAACTGCTTTTTTTTAGTACAGAGTCATGGTTAGTGTAGAGCAGGGGTGGGGAACTTGATCCATGGAGAGCCAGTGTGGGTGTGGGTTTTTGGGATGGCCTCCAAGTCAGCCATTAATAATACAGTGGTTCTCAACTCCAGTCCTGGGGACCCACTGTTATTGGCTGACTGAGAGGTCTTCCCAAAAACCCACACCGGCTCTCCATGGATCAGGATCCTCCAACCTGGTCTAAAGGGCACAAGGCAGGGAACCCTGGTATCCTGGATGGGCTGCCAGTAAACTACAGGGCATACTCACAGAAATAATCAGAATTCGAAGATACCATCCATCCATCCATCCATATACACATCAACAGTGGTGGCTGGTGACAATTGTTTGTTTGTTTTTTTTGGGGGGGGGTAGCACATCGTTGCTCAGCAATAGATAGATAGATAGATAGATAGATAGATAGATAGATAGATAGATAGATAGATAGATAGATAGATAAAATGAAGTCTAAACATAAACACAGCACACTGGAATGCTGCCTAAACATAAACATACTTGAACATAAATCCCCAGGTGTAAGCTCATCCTCAATCACTTGCCGGCTACTGGACATGTGAATCAGATTGTTCCGGTCCAAGCTCCTCCAAACTACCCCCTTTTTTTCTTCCAGTGGAAGTGTATTTATGTAAGGAAATAAACAAGTTTTCTTTGATTTTTACCGTTCCACTGGAAGCTGCCATCTCCAGAAAGACTCACGTTTCCAATTCGCCGCCAATAAAAGTGGGAATGTCTGAAAATCTGGAGAAAAAAATAACAATTAGAGAGCAGCCTCACCCAGATAATATATGCATTAACACAAAAATTAACCAAATACAATTTGGTACCAATTTTTAATGAATGCTGACAGACTACCTTCAAAATTATTTTGTTTTATGTAATGTAATTTATGTTTAACTTGTCTAAGTATACTTTCTTCACTGGATATTTAATGGGGGTTGCTGCCCAAGTGGCCCACGTTAACGAACCGCCACCTACACATCAACTGTCCAACCACTTTTCCTGTTCAGAATCTTGGGAGGCCTGACGGTTACCCCAGGCAGCACAGGGTACAAGGCTGGTTAATTGGATGTCAGTCTATTAAAGGACGCATCAACAAACAGAAACTGAGCGATACCAGTTCACCTGACCTAAGTCACGTGTCTTTTTCCGATGAGAGTAACCTAGATCATCTGTAAGAAAGCCACAGAAGCTCAGAGGTAGCTTGGGAGCTACAGAAACTAATATCAAAGCCCAGAGGCTACAGTACTAGCTCCTGCTTTGTCAGGTAAACATCTAAACAGTGTGGCTACTCTCTCTGCTTTTATTTATTAGGATTTTGTTCTGAACTTCTATAATAATATTTACTTGAATATGTATATTAGAATGATTTCTTTCAGTCACATCAAGACCAGAATCCAGCTTAATAGCTACTTGCTACAGGTGTGATGAACCACAGCAGCTTCCAGATGTTCCTAATGCAGACATTCCACCTTTGGGATATTGTTCAGGAAGGCAGAGAGGAGCACCCAGCAGGAAGGGGGTGCTGGCCAGTGGCAGGCTGGTATTACGGTAATACCGTATATCAGGGGTATTCAACTAAAATTTAAAGAGGTCCAGTTAGAGAAAATTTCTTGAAGCAAAGGTCCGGAAGATCATAATGTCTAACTATTTAGTGTGATATATATTTAAGTATCCTATTAGTTGTATAAATATTGCATGTAATCAGTACCTGACTGTCAAATCAAATTAATTCAGTACAATTCAAAAACGTTTTGACAATATTTATTGTCACGTGACAAAGAACTTCGGCCAGCTGGCTGGAGTGAGATGGTCAATTCGGGATGTCTGCACACATGTAACAGTTCTTACCTTGTAAATAGTCTGCTTTTGTATTTAACCATCTAAATACACCTTTGACGTAGCTAATTTTAGGTTTTATAATGGAATAATATGGATTTGCTGTAAAATTTCCACGAGTCTGAAAGTGTGAGTGTCATGCCAGATGCTTGAGATTTGGCAGCCATGAAAATGTACATTTTTTGTTACACCTGAGTTTATTTATATAACAGATAACATTACTTTATACATATGTTAAAAAGTTCAACAAACATGAAATCAACAATAAACTACGTCTATTTATCCAACATGTTATATAATACATACTGTATTTGAAAACTCTTCAGCTGTATGATTTCAGGACAGACCAGTCACTCTGTTAGGAACATTACGGCTTTTTGTTTGCGGGTGTTAGCTTCACTGCTGCTATTAACACTAATATCACATTAGCGCAGACAAAGGGCTATATAAGCCAAATTACGTCTTGCTTGGTGGTCAAAGGCGTTTGACGTTCATTGGCGGGGGAAACGACGGTTCTACTGCTAAACCACTACCGAAAAGACTACAAACGCTGTGCCGGTTAAAATAGAATTATTTAAATAATAACTTAATGTTTTTGCTATCAGTCCGGGTCCGTATGCAGGGGTGCCGTAAGGGGGAGGAAAGCTAGGACGATTCCAAGGGCCCCTGAGTGACAGGGGCCCTAAAAAATTAGGAAAATAACTGGATTGGTTTGGACTGGGGGGCCTAATATGATATGCTTTCATGGGGCCCAAAATCTCTAGCAACGCCCCTGTCC